TCTCAAATAAATAAATAAAATCTTTAAAAAAATTGTAAGTCTGTAAATATGTCATAAATAAATAATACCTCAGTTAAAAAAAATAAAATAAAATATTGACATTGTGGATACACAATAATGCAATAGCAGGAATATGGTTATCAGGGAGAGATAACAAAATGACAGTGACTAACTTTTGCCAAGTATATCTTAGGTTCTGTTTTGTGTATTGCATTACTTGATCCTTATTAGCAACCTTAGCAGTGGATATTACTCTAATTTCCACTTCAGTAAGAAAAAATATTGATGAAAATACAAAGAATTTGTCCAAGATTGCAGTTAAAAAAAGTAGCAGGGCCAGACTTTGGATCCATAGATTCTGAAGATATATATCCAGGCTCTTCATCTAACTCTACGCTGGTTCTAGTAGAGGTGAAAATAAATAATAAAGAAAGAAACACGTGTTTGTACAATTGTTCTATTCATTCAGCGATGGTTGACATTCATTAATTATTGAAATGGAAGGTGCTAGGAAGCAGTTTAGAAAAACATGCTGACAATGATGGGAGCTTTGCGCATGGAATTCAATATCCACAAGCCCCATTGGAAACATAGGACTGTGTTTGACAGTCTTCTACAATATGATCCTCTGTTTGCATAGACCCAGTGAGATTAGATAATTCAAGATATTGAAAGCCAGACTGAAAAGTCTAAGTTTGATGTTATAAAGAGGAGGAAGCTTCTGAATACCCTACTCAGGGAAGTGACGTGATTGGAGTGGTGCTTTAGAAAGATTGATTTTGCATTTACATGCCATATGGATTGAAATTTGGTGAGATGTCCAATAGAAAAGGAAGCCAAGAGCCACTAATCATGCAGATAGAGGCAGATAAGATTTGGGCTTAACGTGGAAACAGGAAGGAAGAGTAGAACACAAGAATTATGATGTGGGAATGATGAAAATAACTTCGTGACTTATTGTGATGTATATAAGAGATAGACTTGAGGATGAATGTGACTATAAAACAGTGGAGAGTGGAGGGATGAATTAGAGATATTGGTTCTAGGCATATTAGACCCTATTCACTTGAATAGGTTCTGTACCTTTGTATATTATTTTTAATTACTGAAATGTTTAATTCATCATCTATTTCCTGGGGACTGAGCATAATCCAGTCACTTTTCTCAATGTTACACACACACACACACACACACACACATATATATATATGCATGCATGTATATAAGTATGGAATAATTTTGTAGTCAGCAAGTGGTTGGGAATATAAAATCAGAATGTAAAAGAAAAAAAGTATTTAGGAAGATACGAGAGCTGCAAGTCATAAGCATGTTTTTTCTTTTAGTCAGGTAACAGAAAGAGGAGTCCAACAAAAAATAAATACAAATGAAAACCCAGGGTAAGAGTCAGCCTGTCTGAAAATAGACTATCTGGCTAGATAAAGATACCCACTGGCTCAAGTTTTGGTAATGGTACCTTTGTGCTAACAAAAAAAAGCCTCTTATTTCTCTGTGGTTGTCTCATGTCAAGGGCACAGCTCAGCTAATGGTGCATGCCTCTGTGGTCTGAATAAGAACCAAAGACCATGTCTATTCTGAATGTATGGTCAGAGGTGGAGCCCGAGATGTATCGCATCTCTCCCTCCCCCCTTCAGTACTTAGCACTTTTCCTTTTTAAATGTATCCTTAAACTGAAGATTATAATTGCTGTGATATCCAATTTAGACCTGGCTGACATTAGAGAGTAAATGGGCATGAGGTGAAGAATTGGCAGTCTTATTATAAACAATCAGCATGTGGGTATATATATATATATATACATGTGTATATATGTATATATATATAGTATATATATATGTATATATATTTTTATATTTACATATATATTTAATGCAAACTTTAGGTCAAGCCTATAGATGAAAAGAACCTACAGTCATAATCTGGGATTAAAGAAGCATGAAACTATGATAATGTTTATGTATGGCAACTTTCATAGATTTTTAAGGTCATTTAAAATTTTTATTTCAGGGCGCCTGGTTGGCTCAGATGGTTAAGTGTCTGCCTTTGGCTCAGGTCATGATCCCAGGGTCCTGGGATCGAGTCCCACATAGGGCTCCCTGCTAGGCGGGGACCTGCTTCTCCCTCTGCCTCTGCCTCTCTCTCTCTCTCTGACTCTCATGAATAAATAAATAAAACATTTAAAAAAATAAAATAAATAAAATAAAATTTTTATTTCCAGGTAAGATTTTAATAGTCATATGACTTGGAATACATCAGTATTCTGCACATTAATCTCCAGACCTTAGAGTTATCCCATAATGCACTTAATAGGATATCCAAATAATTTACAGTTACTAATTAGAGCTGAAATGTACACTGTTGGATGTCTCTACAATATTCATATCTAAAAGGCCATAAACCTGCCCTCCTGGCTTTTGCTCAGTACCATTTATAAGGCATATTTTTATGTGATCCACAGTGCTCTCTTTCAAGTCTAGCATATAAGGCACACTTGACTTTTGATAGCCATTAGAGGTTTTTATATGAATCTTTGTATCAGAACAGGAATTTGCATTTACGTGTTATTTTCAATCAAGTTTTTTTGTTGTTTTTACAAAATTAATTTCAGAGATGATATATTTACATATATATATATATTTAAAGATTTATTTATTTATTTTAGAGAGAGAGAGAAAGAGATCAGGGAGCAGGGACAAAGGGAGAGAGAGTCTTAAGCAGCCTCTACACTGAGCGCAGAGCCTGACACAGGGCTCGATCTTACGACCCTGAGATCATCACCTGACCTGAAACCATGAGTCATATGCTTAACAGACTGCACCACTCAAGCACCCCTTATATATTTTTATAATATATGTGTATATTTTAAGTAAATTATATGTAAATTTACAACTTTATGATTATTTCAAATGTGATATTGAAATGAAAGAGAAGAGGGGCACCTGGCTGACTCAGTCACTAGAGTGTGTGACTCTTGATCTTGGGGTCATGAGTTCAAGCCCCAGGTTGGGTGTAGAGATTACTTAAAAAAAAAAAAAAAGAGGGCGGGGGAGAAAGAGAAACTGAGAGAGATCCCTTCAATACTTAACGTACCTCTAATTCTTCATGTTTCTGGAGTAGAAGTTTCATTAATTTCCTCATGAGACTTTTTTCTCTATTATTTTCTCCTCTTACCTCTTTAGCATTTTTGCTAATTGTTTATAAGGTTTTGTATACTGGAAAATAAAGTTTCATTCAGCATACATTATTGAGCTTGAAATAATGTGAGTAATGGATTGACACAAAACACACAAGACAGATTTTATAGCTGTTTTTAAAATATAAGGATTACAACTTAAATATTCCACATAAAGCTTTATTTTAGCTAAATAATACATAAGTTAAACTAAAATAGGTAGTTTGCAGTTTTATTTAGTTCATAATGACATTTGCTCTAAACTTAACACTTTCCCCAAAATTATTAACATAATTTTATTAAACAAAAAGAAAATAAATCTCACATCTTCACAAAAGATATTTATGCTAATGATTCAATAAAGTCTTTGTTTCTTCTTATATTTTTAATTATACCTGCATTCTCCCTCCATCCCTTTCTCTCTTTCACACACACACACACACACACACACACACACACACAAACAGGAGCTTGTTTTCCTTGAATGCAAATAAAATCCCCATACTGTATAGAAAAGGAAGAAGTAAAATTATTGCCTCAATCAATGAAATTTGATAATATTTTACTCTTCATTTTCTATAGTTATAAAGATTGACTAATGTATACTTTCTTGCAATTTGAAAGCATCATTCAGCAGTTTATGCAAGCTCTCTAATTCAAATATATTAAGTGACATAGGGAGCAATTTTCCTTTATTCCTAATTGTCAGGATACCATTAAGTCTTAATAATGGCCATCCATATTACCTGGCTTACATTTCCTTTGTTTTCACTTTTTCGTAGATGTGCCATCCAGTCCCTATGGAGTGAAGATTATAGAGCTGTCACAGACCACAGCCAAGGTTTCTTTCAACAAGCCGGACTCCCACGGAGGTGTGCCTATTCATCACTATCAAGTGGATGTCAAAGAAGTGGCATCAGAAACCTGGAAAATAGTACGCTCCCATGGAGTTCAAAGTGAGTCAGTGATTTCAAAGTATGTTGGTTAATTCAAACTGACCTTCAGTGTTCTTGTGTGATTGGGTTTTTATTTTTCTTCGATGTGTACTTTTTTTTTTCTTTTAATAAAGTAGGGCTGGGAAGACATTTCCATTGCCCTTTTCTTCTTGAGAATACTTTTAATAGAGAGTGGGAAAGTTTTCATCTTTAATAAAGATGGAAGAGTTTAGCAAAATCACCAAAGTTCAATTTTAGGGGAGAAAATTTAATATTTAGAATCTTGGTGGTAGAAAAACAACTACTGACATGTCAAATTTGATGGCTGAATATTCTGAAATATGTTTGTTTTTCATTTATCTGTAAGATTTCTTCTGTAAGTAGTTGTAAAAGTCATACTGTAAAATGTAGAAATCTTATATATTTATGAAGCCATCTATAAAAATTATCTGTCTACTAGAATTTATTTCAAAATTATGTTTTGAAAACTGAGCTTTTTCCTATAAATTATGGCATTTTGAGTAATAGAATAAGCTAATTCTAAGAAGTTAAAACAATTTACAGCACTTCTTTTCACATATAGAATTTCATCATTGTGAAATTGTGATTTTTTTCCCATTAAAAGAAGAAGCTAAATTAGGAAATGATAATTAATTATAAGAGGGGGACTCTATTGGTTGGGATATAGAACTACATTGCATAGTCCAAAAGGACAGTAAAGAAAATAGTGAGGACACTATTGTTCCAAAGTGTCCCTCCTCTGCTGGTCCTGGCCCTGGCATGATCCTGACATGTATGGTGTAAGGGCTCTGTAAAAGGCATGAGCTGTCCTGTGAAGAAAACCATGAGCCCTCCTGTGAAGAATTGTCCTAGTGGACAATAGAGACAGAACAGATAAAATCATTGTAGTTCCACCAATGTTGGCACTCCTTGTTCCATTTTTACTGAGAGTAACTATATGTTTTTTATAGAAGTGCCAGAAATATTCACCAGTCTGTCATCAGTCATTTACTACATGCTTCAAATAATGCCCCCCAAACATGTCAGCCCTTATCATTTCTCTTAATGACGAGAGGATTTGGATAGGTAATGTTCTTTGTGCAAATGCTATGCGGTCCAGGAGAGAAGATAGTATCCCAAAAGAATGAGCAAGTGAGTTCTGGGACTCTAATGGAAGAAACCATTATCCTAGATTCAAGAATTCTATTTTTTAAGAGCGGGAAAACAAGAGAGATGAAAGGTGAGAGACAGAAAGAAAAATGAATTATTACTGACACTACAGAACACTCAGAGTGGGGGTGTTTGTGCACAACCAAGAAGAAAAGTAATGTTAAAGCTGAATATTAGAGAAATTAAACTTGGCAGAATGGTACTACCACACCTCATCCCTCCACCCTGCTGAAGAAGGTTAACAGATTCTCCCAAGACTTTTTACAAAGTTGCAACATCATGAAGGATTTTTAATGGCCTTGATCTGATGGAGTTGTTCATGTTCAAAAACCTGATTTTGTTACTCCATGTATCCATCTCTCAGAAGCAGGTTTCTGTGTTTATAAAACGATATATAAGAAAGGACATTTGCTAATTCACAATGAGAAAGCACTGTCCTGGAAATTAGACATTCAGAATATATATAATAGGTATATTCTTTACCTGTGAGTATTTTACGTAGGAAAGGAAATATGAGTCAGAAACCTGTTTGGTGAGTCTTGAATATCAGTCAAGGAAGTTAAGTGAATGAGATATCCAATGCTTTCAGACTGGGCCAGCTTAAAGCTTGCCAGTGAGACCAGAATACTCAAAGTCCTGGTTTCTCTTCCACTTCTTATAAGAACATTGATCCCATCATGGGGCTCCACCTTCATGACCTCCCTAAGCCTAATCACCTCCCCAAGACCCACCTCTAAATACTATCACATTAGAGGTTTTGGTTTCAACATATGAATTGGTGGGTGGGGGTGGGGATGGGGGTGGG